GTCTAACGGCCCATTTCGGCTACTGTCCCAGACGTCCAGTCGTAGCCAAGGTGTTTTACTTAACTCGCTTTTGGCTGGCGGCTATTACAAAACACAAGCTCGAGCTGGCTCGAGCATGCTGTTCGTTACCTCAATTACGTGAAACAAAGCAAAAGTTCGTTAAAGGACAAATTGAGTTATTAACCAAGCCAAACATTCAACCAAATGGGATTAAAGTCGCGCGCGTGAAAAAAAAAAAACAACTTCAAATGCGTTTTTAAAAGCGGCCCAGTTAAATATGCGCTCAACTGGAGCACAGTTGACGGAAACGTTCATTACGGACCACACCGTAGTCTATGATGACGATGATGATGATGATGCTGCAGATGCTCAGGGTGATGATGAAGATAATGAGCATGATGATGTCTGTGCACCAGTTACAGAGATCTCCCATTGCAACAATACACTCAAAAAAAAAATATGGGTTAGCTCAAATTCAAGAAAATATCCATTAACAATTTTACTAATTTTGAACAATTTCTAGACTTTTCTTTTTATAAAATAAACAAAAATTTACTAAATGAAAATTCTCGTAAAAGTTAACAAATACAAATAAGTAAACAAAACAAAACAAACGCCGATGTCAGTGGAAAATGAGTGAAAACTAAAAGTTTTTTTACCCATTTTTAAAGAGATGTCATCAAAAATTCTTTTCAATATCCAAACTCTACTATATATACTATATATAAAGACTATATATAAAGACAATTATAGGTAAATTTATAAATATTTAGTAACTGAAAAAGTAGATTAACTTTCTTTAAAGCATATTTTAGAGACTTAAATCTCAAATTATGTATAAATAAACCTTGAAAATGCAATCTCTGTTTACAATTAATTCTTTTCTTACTTTTACTTTTTAGAAATATCATGTTTTTGAAAAATATGAAATATTTTAACAAGAATATTTTCTACAAATAAGCCAAATTTACTGAGTGAATATTTTTTAATAACTACGAACATCTTATAAAAGAAAAGTATTTCTTTAATAGATTTCAAATCGTTACAAATCTACATGTCTTCATTTCTCGAGAAGGGCAACTCTAGCTTAAGAGCTAAAGTGTAATTTTTAAGAAGTGTAGTAAAGAGTTTGAAGGTGGCGAGCTGCTTGAGATTCTTCTCTCCTCTCATCCCAAAAAGCAGCAATATTTTTGCAAATCAACGTATAACTTCAAGCAAGCTAAAAACAACATAAAAATAAGGTATTTTTTATAATTAACAGAAATTAAGTACCTTAGCGCAGCTAAAATTTTGATGATCTAAGCGTTTGCTTAGCCAAAGTATTACCTAATCAAATATATATATATTTAATAAACGTGCTCAAGTTCATTTGGCAAACTATCAATCGCAAAGTTGTTCAGTCTAGCTTGAAAGCGTTAGAGAGCGGAGAGCTTATCATATTTCAGACAACTTTCTACTGTCAATTGCGTTTATTTGCTGGGCCTGCAATATACCCACTTCAGTTTATACAATACTACAGGTCATATAAAAAAAAAGGGGGGGAAGATGTAGTAGTAATATCGCATTTCAGTGCAGAATTTTTTGTTCGCATTGAGTGCACATGAGCGCACATGAACATTGCAACTGCAGCTGCAACTCCTTTTGGACAACTCTAGCCGCAAATCCAGAACCAGAACCAGCTTGGATGCCTGGCCGTTCTTCTTTTTCTTTTTTTTACCGGCCCGGCATAGTGCACTTGATGGCAGTCGCCGAACTCCCCGCTCGAATTTCTCGGCGGCCAACTCAATTATAAAATGGCACAACGCACAAAACACATTAAAATGTGCACGTGGAAAAGGTTTTCTGTTGCATTTTCATTTATCGTTTTGCGCAACTTGCTGCAAAATTTATTTAGTTTTCCCTCAACGTTCTGCCATTTCTTGTGCATTTTGACTTTCGAGCATTGTTCCGTTATGGCAGCTTGGCCAGCAGCGGCGCACAAAAGAAAATACAATAAATAATGAAAAACTTTTGTGCGCTTGCCAGCAAAACAAAAAGTGCACTGAAAAAATGAGTTCGTAACAACTCAAAGATCCAATAAGCGAGCAAATTTTGTCGGTCACTCGTTTAGTTCAGATTTATGAGAAACGCAAAGAGAGGCGGTCAAGTGAGCTTACTTATTAACGCAAGTCGTTATTGGGGCAAGCTGTTATGGTAACCGTTTGTTACAGCACTTAACTTATTATTCATTTAATGTCTTAGGGAAGTTAAGAAACAATATGCTTATAAGTTTATAACTCAAAGATTTAACAAGCGGGTAGATTTGTGAGAAGCGCAAAGAAAGGCTTTCAAATGCAAGTTTTTACTATGATAAAACTACATAATATAACTGAAATTATGCTGCTCTTTTATTGAATCACTGCGGGTAACCCTCATCAAATATGTTGGGGACGTTACTCAAAGATCCAATATGAACTTTAGTTGGTCAGTTGTTAATGTCACGTTTATGAGAAGCGCAAAGAGGGGCGGTCAAGTAGGTTAACATATTAAGCCAGGTGTTGGCATGGAAACATTTTGTTACAGAACTGAAATAATGATTCTTCAGCTATTAAATTATAGTAGAAAACATATTAGCACATACGATTCGATAAATATATGACCTGTTAAAAGCCAAATAAAGTTGTTCTCAAGTTAGGTAATTTGAGGAACGAAAAAACAGCTACTTTGAACGCAACAAAATAAAGATCTGCTGTTAATTTGGTATTAAATCAAATGTTTATAAAGAATACAATACTTGCTGGCAGATACAACGGAAATTGTAAGCAAAAAGTAAGTCAATTGTAGAAAAATTTAAAAATAATATTGGTTCAGATGAGATAGCTGATTACTACAGTTACTTAATTGTTCACTTGTCAAAGTCATGTGCATGAGAAGCGCATAGAGCGGCACAGCAGAAGCCAAGTAAATTGAGAACAGCTGTTCGTATGATAATATTTTTTTAATCGAAATGGAAATGATGTAAGTTTAACCAGAACAGGTAGTTCCTGGCACAAGCAATGTGTACGACCAAACAATTGTCTAAGCAACCACCAAAACGAAACGCATGAGCGAACATAAAAAAGAGAGAGAAAGGGAGAGGTAGAGGGAGAGCAGAATCAATTGGAACTGATCGACGCCGACAGCTGGCCGATGAAGCTGGCAACATGAGCAAGCATTTTGAGGCACGCAGCGTGGGCACCCAACGGCGACGGCCAACTGATGCACCTGCTCCGTCCAAAAACAACAACAACAACAACAGAAAGAAAAAACAAAACTAAAACAGAGCAGACTGCGAACAGAGAGTTCAAGAGCGTGGGCTCTCTGCAGACCGGTAGAAGTTCGCGTGATGCCGGAAATGCAATTGTCGCACGCCCACCAAAAAAAAACACACACACAACTGCCATGGCAACCAATCTGTATTAGTGTGTGTGTGTGTGTGTGTGGGCACATTTATGATAATTATATGAAAATCAATTGAAGTTAATGCCATTTTATCATTGGGTCGCGAGCGTCACTTGAACGAAATGGAAATTCGAGTTCTCGCACATTGTTGATAATTTGTGTAACAGGCTTGTGGCACAAGCTGTGCGCCGTGCAACTGCCACATGTGGCACTTAAATGGGCATGCCACGAGTCAACCAACAGCTGCTGTCAGTCAGTCAGTCAAAAGTATCTGATAGATACATGTGCGCTCGTTCGGTTCTGTAAAATGCGAAGCGCACTTTTCGATTTAGATAAGTTCTTCCCCCTCTCTCTCTCTGCCCCTCTCTCCCCACTGGGGTTTGGGGCGTGTTGTTGCTGTCTGGCCAGCAAATGCCAGGTAAATATTATTATGCACACGCACTCACAACCACACACACATGTGGCTGGAATTTGGTGAAAATTGCAACAAGAAAAACTTGAAAAACCGGCAAACGGCAAACGGCAAATGTGCATGAAAATGGCCCAACTGGCAAAACTGGCTAAAAGCAAACACACACACACATTAACAATTCACACATTTGCGGCAGCATAATTTCAGTCAGGCATAGATATGTGAGGGGGGCGAGATGCTGGTTTAAAATGCCAGCACAAAATTCAAATGCAATTGGCAAAAAAGCCGCAGAGTGTGTGAAAAGCATGAGAATGAAGAGATACAAATGTGGCATATGAGTGCGTATGTATGTTAATGTATGTGTGTGTGTGCGTGTTACAAAAGCCCAAAAGGCATTGCAAGTTGCAACAATGTGTGGCAGCATTCATAATTCAAATGCGCACAAAGAATGTTGCAATGCGGTTTTGTCTACAACTAATTTATGCGACTATTAGCCAGAGAAGTTGAAAGAATTTCCGAAAATTAAGACGCAAAACCATTAAAAGAAAAGCTCAGCCATCAATTCAAGCAGAGATTTTCAAAGAATCTTACTACAATCTAAATAATGCAGTTGCCAAGTTGCGTCAAGATTAAGCTCTAAGATGAAGCTTTGTAGAATTTAACTTGAACAAAATACTGACTAAAGTTAGCATGAAAAAACATAAAAGTCATCGACGAGCGTCGAACTAGTAAACGCGAAGTAGACAGTTCAAATCCAACAGTCATTTTCTTGCCTGAGCCGACCAAGCATAAGTCAAAAGTGATAAATTGGTTATTTGGGGCAAGCTAAACTTATTATTCATTCATTCAAAGATCCAATAAGCGAGCAAATTTAGTTGGTCAATCGTTTAGGCCAGATTTATGAGAAGCGCAAAGAGAGGCGTCCAACTGAGCTAACATATTAAGGCAACTCGTTATTGTGATATGTATGTAATCATACTCCTAAATCAAATGTATAAATTAGTCTTCCTATTTCTTCAACACCATTCCTGATCAGTTTTTCAAATTTGTCCATATTTCTGGCTTCAATTTCGACTTTTTCAACTAGTTGTTGCTTATGCAAATAAGTTTCCTTTGCAGAAACTGTCGACACTGAGAAATTGGGAACTGAAAACATTTAGTTATAGGTGAGAGCTGTCAATGCTTGTTGGCCGTAACTTTCAGCGTAGTTCAGCACCGTAAAAAGTGTACAAAAATTCCGAAAAAAAATAGAAAAAAATAAACAACACGAACATAACGTCGAGATTTTTGAACAAAATTCCAGTAAGTAGCGCCAAAGAAGTCAACACAAACGACTACATCATCATAACTATTATAATAATCATCATAATTATTATTATCAATTCAATTGTTGTTATAATTATTATTGTCGTTCTTGTAGCCAGTGACATGTCTGAACTGCAAGCATCGCTGCTGCTGAAGCGGCAACTCGCTGAGCTGCATCGCAATCCCGTCGAGGGCTTCTCCGCGGGCCTGATCAACGATGAGGACATCTTCAAATGGGAGGTGGTCATAATTGGGCCGCCGGACACACTCTACGAAGGCGGCTGCTTCAAGGCGCATCTGATCTTTCCCAAGGAGTATCCATTGCGGCCGCCTCGCATGAAATTCGTCACAGAAATCTGGCATCCGAATATTGAAAAGAACGGCGATGTGTGCATCTCCATTCTGCACGAGCCCGGCGACGATAAATGGGGCTACGAGAAGGCCGAGGAGCGCTGGCTGCCCGTTCATACCGTTGAAACCATATTGCTATCCGTCATCTCCATGCTAACCGATCCCAACGATGAGTCCGCCGCCAATGTGGACGCTGCCAAGGAATGGCGCGAAGATCATGCCGAGTTCAAGCGCAAGGTGGCCCGTTGTGTGCGTCGCAGCCAGGAGGAGGTCTAGAATGGGACGTGTGCGCCACATAGCATAGCTCTCCAAAATTCGCACACACTCACACACACATACATTCAACTCGGAACGGTCAACATTCAAGCATGCGAATAAAATAAGCGACTGCTTGCAAAAATCTAGCGACTGGAGTACATTTCACAGTTGCCTCGGGCGAAAGTGTCAAAAGTAGAATTTGTATACCCTGTACGCCTGGTAAATGCATAAAGCAGGGTATACTGTTTGTGTGCAAAAGTATATAACAGGCAGGTAGAGCTTCTGCAACTCCTTAAGGCATATTTATGTAGTTTTGCCTTCTTCTAAAAAATATATTTTGAATAGATAGAGATGCAGTCGAAGGGCCTGCATGGAACATACTTATCATATAAAGGATTGCCTACAATATTTCCACATTTACATACGCAAAAGGACGTCTAATGATAAACTTCTAAGCTTGTGTATTGGAAGATTTTGTTTGAGTTCTTAAACATAACTCGAAGATTACAAGACCTAGTGATATGTACATATGAGAAATATTTCACTTATTGAATACCTCCTCCGATTACCTTAGAAATTGATTGGTTGAATTTATTTTAAGATCAGAGCCTTTGGAGAGACTTTTCTATGCTAATTCAAGCCCTGAAAGTTTCACAAAGATCGGACTATAAACAACCAAGTTAATCAAGAATGCATTTCCCATAAATATACCCGGGAAATGTTAAAAAGAAGCACAGCCTGCGGGCTATGTGCCTGTGTGTGTGCATGTTTAAATATGCACACTTACACATAAAAGGAAGTGCAATTGCTTGTGAGGACAGCTCGGCGCTGAGTACAGAGCATATTCTAGTCGGTCTGACCCGACTCTTACTCTGGGGATTTTTTTTTTTTGGTTTTTGGTTTTGGCTTTAATTGGCCTCGCAGCAGCTGCAAATGCGCCGCTTTAATTAAGTTTCTCACATGATTAGCGTGCTTTTCTATGCCGACGCCTGTCAGCTTTAATTAGACTCCGAGCCGCATCTCTGGGGCGGGCGGCGGCATCTTCTTCAACCACTTGGTCAAGTCGCCCAAGTGTGGGTCAATCTTAAGCCGTGTGCTTAATGCACGGCAGCTACTGCTGACACACTTGCCAAATGCCAGTTGCCAGTTGCGAGTTGGATCTGTGCTAACTTTTTGCCGTGGCTGTAAGCAGCTTTATTGACTTCTACTTCACATGGCCGTAGCAAAACGCGCCACTCACCTGGTCGATCTGGGCACATGGCAGTCGAACGACTGTTAACAAGAAAATACAACCATTTTTTCGATGTGCCGAATATCAAATATCCTTGCAGAAATATGTCAAGGAAAAAAAACTTTGTAAAAAGTTCAAAGATTATTCCCATAGGAGAGTCGAATAAACAATATTTGACTTTGTGGAAGAATTATATATTATAAATTATGCTATATTATAAACAAAAATTGTTTTGGTTATTAATTTGTTTTTTTCCATTAGATATATTACCCTCATGCTCATTTTTGTATGACATAAGCGTTTTCCACCAATTTTCCACAGCTACGGGTGAATTCCACATAATGTATGCAAAACCCGTGTATTCATCAAGTTTGTATCTAGGCAAACTTGGCACATATAAGAGAAATTTGTGAAGTATGTCTCAAATTAGCTTTCATAATAATCCTTAAAAATAAGTTGCAGCCGGAAACTTCAGTCAACTATTCTTTTACCCCCATTTTTCACAGTGAATTTTACGAAAAGTGTGATTCACGTTACAAATGAATAGAACCCAAAACTTCAACTAGCTATTATTTCACTTTCCACCGTGGATCTGTAAATTTTGCGAAAACATCTGTCAAGTGAATTTTCACAAAAATGTTTGATAATAAGTTTGATGTAAGAACTATACTATCATGCAAGCAATTTTTTCACGATTTTTCCACGCTTATGTGTGGAATTACCAAACTATCCTCTCCCCACCGCACTCCACACTTATTATATTATATTAAATGTCAGCTCTCAACTCTGACGGATGCACTATTGATTTATCACCAATCCAACAGTCAGTCAATCACGCTGTCATTTAGACAGGCAGTAGTCACCTTCCATGCGTTGCAAATTTAATGTCAAGTTTAATATGCCCACAGTGAGTGTGTCGAAAGCATTTTATTAACGGCTAACTGAAGTTTGTTTTTTTGTCGTTGTTTTTGCTGTTGTTGTTGTTGTTTTTGCTGTTGTTGTTGTTGTTGTTGTTGTTTAGCAACAAGTTTTGCATTTTGATTTTGCATTGTTTTGTTCCGGCCATAATCCGGTCAGGCCTGGCACATTGTTGAACAGTGACTCAAAAGCGGTTAATGAACATTTTTAGCCACAGTTTGATTTCTTCTGGGTGTGCCCCCAAAGAAATAACAAAACAAAAAAGCACGACTGTCTGGCGAATGCATATTAAAATATTCCAAAATTATTATGAATCAGCGCCAGAAACACGATTGGCGAACTGGGTAAATAAGGCCAAGCCAGCTAGTTGGTCAAAAACAAATACGCGACAGGGGAAAATCACAAATAAAAACAAGAATTCTGTAAAGAATCAGCTCAAAAAAAAAATCTTGGCCAACAAAATATGTAAGTAATAAAAAACGAAAACGAAAAGCTGTAGAAAACAGCACAAAAACCTGCTTGAAGAAAAAAAACGAGGAAGAATGCACGCCGAAGATTAAATATCCTTGCAGTTAAATGAGAAGAAATTTAAAGATTCATTAAAAAAAACTGTTAATATACTCAGGTCGATTCAAGTCTAGAAAAACAAAACAAAAATGAATTGGAATCTTTGACCGATCTTTCCAATGGCAGCTATATGATATAGTCTTCCAGTATTGATCAGATTTTCGTTTTACACACAATAGTGAAACTAAGAAGATAAAAACTAAGAGTCTCGACAGGTTAGATATATATCGCCGAGGCTGTTGATACTGATTAAGATATATTTATAACATATAGATAAATATATACATATATATTTTAATGGTGTTGGAGTTGTTTTCATTCAAGCGTTACACATTTCTTGAGATAACTATAATACCCTCTAAAAGGGTATAAGAAAGAGATGCCACAAAGCTGAAGCTGAAGCTGAAGTCTCATCGATGCTGCTCCAATGTGGCAGAGGCAGAGGCAAAGGCAGAGTCTGTGGCTGTGCCTGTCGCTGTGGCTGAGGTTCTTCTTCAGCGCAGCAAAACTCACTCAGCGAGTAGAAATTGAATTGATGTTATTGTTGGCCAAGTCGAAAACCGGCTTCGACTCCAGTCTTGACTTGTCTGTGGCTAACAAAACGCACAAAGCGTAAGGCCGGAATACCTGGAGCTGAGAGGGTGAACGGTGGCGGGTGGAGCTGGACCACGATCTTCAGATTTATAAATAGCATTTCAATACGCAGTGAAATCTACTTGCGGGAAAGCGGGGCCATCAGCTTGAGCCTATTTAGCCGGGGTCAGACAGGTAGCTGCTGCTGCTACTGCAGGTCAGCTTCATTAGCGTCGATCGAGCGTGGAAAAACCCGGCAAGGCAGTGTCTAGTTTCTAGGAAAAAGGCGCCTCCGCCTTGTGCGTACACTTACCTACAAAAACAAGTACAAATCCAATAGACAAGCGCTGCACCTCGTATGTATGCTGTGCGTGTGTGCGTGTGTGTGTTTGTGTGTGTGCGTGCGTCGCATACGCTTTAAGTAAATTCCAATATGCGCTGGAGCTGGAGCTGGCGTTGTATCTTACAGATACATTGGCTCAGATACTGGTTTTCGTATATCGTGCTGTGGTGCGAGCGAGACAGCAAATTGCTGTGAAAATGTCGCTATTGGTCGTTGCTCCTTGGTTGTGTAAGCCCAGGGTATGCGTAAGTCGGTTATTTTTTTGTTGCACTCTAGGAAGCTGCGTTCGGACACTTTCTTTTAACGAGAATCGCGCTGTTTATCTGTTTATCTAAGCACAAGCTTAGCAGCATTTACACGCTTGTTGATTTTGTTGTTGGAATAATTAAAAAAAAAAAAACTCAGAACAACAGCAATAATCATATCGAAGTTGAGGCAGAAACTACCTGACGCGTACCGCCGCGTCATAAACACTTTTTGCTGTTCTCGCTTATTTGTTTTTTTTATTTGCATGTGCGTGTGTGTGTGTGTATTTGTATTTTTAAAAACGCGCTACGTTTCGTTCCGTTCGTTCGCGACGCGCCTCACGTTCACGTTTTGCCGGTTTGTCGAGCGCACACGTCCACCTGCGTTGCCGTCTCAAAGTAAACTAAACCCAACTACATTGAAAACAAGTTTCTGTCAACGCAGTCGCAGTCGCAGTCGCAGTCGCTGCCTCGGTCGCAGCTGGCGTCGCAGCATAACAAGTCGAAACAAGATAAATGCACGCAAACACATGCACTTTTGCCCTAGCCAGGCCACACACACACAGGAGCGGACTTGCCTGCAGTGCGCCCATATGTGTGTGTGTGTGTGCACTTCGGATTTACAGCACATGCTGTTAATATTATTTCCAGCGAATATATTTGGGTTGAGAATAAGTGAGCTACCTATTACGGGTTAGTATTTGATTTTATTGTTGTACTTAAAATTTATGAGCTGTTTTATATGAATATTACAAGATTAATAGTTTATATCAAGCTTTCCAAATATACATTTTTTTAACCATTAATATTTTTCTAAATTAATAAAAATCAATATTTACACAAGCAAAGCAACCCAATTGACTTTGATATGTTTATAAGATTTTTTGTTCATTTACATGAATAAAGAAGAAATGTTTTAATACTTCCCAAATGAAAGTATTTCCACTCGTAAGAAATCTGCAAGCCACTTGAACATTTTTTTTTACAAGCTCAGATCTAGCGCGATCTTAAAATTTAAATTGATATATTCTAAATTTATAGAATGTTGCTATTATATTTACTTTAAATATGCATTCTTTTTTTTCTTTTCTTGTAACATGTAACCCTCTAATAGCTCAAGCCGCACCTGAACGCGACTGTCAGCAGCATTGTTGCAACATTGTTGCTGGCAACATTGTTGCTGGCAAGTTTTAAGCTTGTTGCTGGGCGCTTGTTGTTGCCGGCTTTTTGGCTGCGATGGTTTTTGTTTTTGTGCGCTGTTGGTCGTTGGCACTGCCGCACACACACACCCACACCCACACCCAGACCCGCAGCTGCACCCGCAGGCGTGCCTCCCCCGTAAAGAGCAGCACAGGGTAGTTTGTATTTACACAGACACACACACACACACATACAGATACACTCTACCACTTCGACGTCCGTTTCGTATTTACATTTTACAATATGTACAATGCCTGGCGCTAAATATTTGATGAAGCTGCCAGCCGGATACATAGAGATAAAGATAAAGATACAAATAGACAGTCAGACAGACAGATAGACAGATAGATAGACATTTGGCAAGACATTTGTGTCTGTCTGGCAGCTTTTCTGCTTTTCCGCTTTTCATCTGCAAAATGGCTGCTCTACGGCCATATTTGTTGGCATTTTGTCCATCTGCCTCATAATTGTCTAGTTTGCATATGGTTCTCATCTTTTATCAGTTTGCCGCCTCATTTGCACTTGAAAATGTTCCTGGTGTCGGTGGTACACTCGTATTTGCACTCACTGTTGATAATGCTGTCCGTTTTATCTTATCTTCAGCAGACCTTCTCTCGTTTGTCAACCTCCTGACAATGTCAACGCCTTTAAACATAACACTCAACGCATATGCATTAGTTGTTGTTGTTGTTGTTGTGATACCCTGTACCCATGAAAAATGTCAAAAGAAGTATACCCAATCAGGGTATAATAACTGGAGACATGAAATATGGCTCGCCCTTTAACGCCCGCGCATTCTTCGATAGCTTGGCGCGTTTCCACGAAATCGATAACTTATCGATTTTCGGCTTAAGTTCGCTAACCCCATCTCGCAGCTTAAACGGGCCAGAGACACCAGCTTTACTATGCAGGCTGTTGTATGCAATCATCGATAACTTGGCGCGTTTTCACGAAATCGATAAATTATCGATTTTCAGCCTAGCTTCTCCATCCATTCTCGCAATTTAAAGATAGAGACACCAAAATTAGAAAGGCAGCCGTTTGCATGCAATCGTTAAACTATCGTTTCCGCGAAATCGATAAGTATCGATTTTCAACATAAATTTGTATAATATATGTATATTTCTATAATATAGTGTATTTATATGTAAAATATTTATGACAGGGTATATTCTAGTCAGGCACTGCCCATTTAAGCAGTTTTACAGCTTGTTCTTGTTGTCGCATGTGTCGCTGCATTTCCATTTGCATTTTGAACAATTGTCAATTGCCGAGGACGCACTGCAGCAACGCCTGGCCTAGGAAATTTGCATGAGTCGAGCTGTTGTTGTCTGCGCCAAGACAAGCTCACTTTGATGCACTCGCCACGCCCCGCCCCCGCCTCTTAAGCGCAGAACTGGCAACTCGTCAGGTCTGGCGTTTTGTTTATCTTCTTGTTATGTGTGTAATTTGCATAAAACTAAGTTTTCATCTTGTGCCACAAGCCCAAACCTGAGCGCAGCAGCAGCTTGCTTGCTTTGACCCCCAGCTGACCCCGCCTTGTCGCCTGGCCTGGCCTGGCCTGGCCACTCGAGAGTTGCCAAAGTTGTGGACGCTCTGCCGTCACCATAAAAGTCATTAAGAATTTGTGCATCTGCCGCAGAGAGAGGTCCTCTGAGAGGTCCTTCGAGCTCCTGCGAGGTCCTGCATATTCATGGTGCACAACTCGACGCAACTTTGACAGAGCACAGCTTTTGGCCATGGAAATGGTCTCGCACTTCTGCGTTTAGCCAACTTTAATTAAACGTTAATAGCTCAACTCGTTCGACTTGCGCAAATACTTCCGGCCGGAAGTGCAAGGCACTTGACTTGAACTATAAAAATACTTTGTGTTTAGATTAACACCTCGCAGGCTCAGACACGGACTTGACATCGTGCTCAATATTTACTTAAAACCGAAATACTTTAAAGTGAGTCTCTGGAGCTCTACTCTCTACTCCATGCATAAGTAAGTTGCTCTAGTCGGGTGTGCCTGACTGAGATATACCCTGTCACACATGTACAAAGGAGCACGCTCTGATTGTGTTTCATCTTCCCTTAGCCCCACAATTTAAAGAGAATGCGCTTGTGACAAGCTTCGGTGCTTGTTGTCCGATCTGAATGACATGTTAGGGACACAAAAATGACGTTCAAGCCCAAGACTATGTTTTCAAAAATGATTTTCTTCGAATTTGAGGTCTAGCGAAATATGTTGGATCTATGTATACTACTTAATAGTTTATACTGCAGCTCATATAAATTTTTGAGAGAATGGTCAGAGAAATAACAAGAAATCGTTAACAAAATCATTTGAGGCCTATGATATTTGATATAGTCGAATATATAGCCTAGAATATTGCAGGTATTTTGAGCATAAGGACATTCAGAACCTTTTAAGCCATTGTAAACACGTTAACATCCTTCCATGAACTTTACCGAAATCGAAATATGAAGTTTCCTTATTGATTGATTTGATCTTATTACAAATAATCAATTCTCCATGCGAATTTGTATCTTTATATCTATATCTATTATCTATTAATCTTTATATTGCTTTGGCTCCTCCAGAAGCTGATAGTTAATTTATTTTTTACTTTGCTGCGAGACTGACGTGTCTGCTAGAACCTTCGGCACTTTTCCTCGTTCATAATCAGAACTTAACCCCTAAAAAGTGAACCTTAGCATTTCGAAATCTTTTCAAGACAGACTAAACAGCCCGACTTAAGAGGTCCACTCTCTGACGAATCAATTGCTTTCCCGCTTTTGCAGAGCTAAAAAGTGAACCCCATATATATCGCACAGCATTTCGAATCCTTTGCCTTTACATATCTGAGTTCGGGTGCTGGCAGAGATTTCTGTTCGCCCAGCCCGACTAAACAACCCGACTTAAGAGGTCCACACTCTGTTTGCCAGTCTAAGCTCTGAGAGGTCTCTGAGAACCACAAAACCACAAGAACTTATTCACATCCGGCACAAACTGTACTACCAGGAAATATGCAGACAAACAAATATATGTTTATGATAAAAAAGATATATCTGAGTATCTAAATGTGAACAAGATTTCATATTTTTTTCAGTCTCAACCAGTTTGCCTGTCATTTAACATTTACACAAATTTCGTTTGTTAACAGAAAAACAGACAAGTTTAAGGAATATTTGTAAAAATAAAATTCTGTAAATTCTTGCCTTGAAGAAACTTAGAAAAACCGGTAAAAAAATGAGCAACAAAACGCGTAAAACCAAATATGTTTTGATGGTTTGCGTGGGTGAGAAAAATGCATAATAATAATAAAATAAATAATATATATTTAAAACCCCCATCAGATAATATTTGTCGCTCACCAATCGCAGAGGCTGTGTTGCGTGACATCATCGTCAAGAACAATCTCCATTCGAATTGGCGCGTGGACAGCGCCGCGATTGAGGCGTGGCACCTGGGCGCCCGGCCGGATGATCGGGCGTTGAGCGTGCTCCGGCAGAACAATATCAACTATCATAGCTGTGCGCGCCGGCTGACGCCGGAGGATTTCGAGAAGTTCGACTATATACTGGGCATGGATCAGAGCATTTTGGCCTCCTTGAAGCTGCTGCAGCCCTACTATGCCAAATCGCAGCTTCTGATGCTGGGCGACTTTTTGTTCGGGCTGAAGCCGAACGAACGCATCATTGAGGATCCATACTATGTAAGTAGCGGGCATTTATATATTATTATTTTATTTATATATTATTGTAATTTGTAGGAGATGGGCGAGGCGGCGTTTCAGAAGATTTATGAGCAGTGCACGCAGGCGTGCGGCAATTTTTTAAAACAAGCGCGACAGGACGAAATTATAACATAGAATTCAACTGGCGGGTACCATTGCAGGGTTAACAACAGCTGTTGCCATGTTACCCGCCAGCTTGTGTACTTGTTCGCCAGTGTTGGCAACGACCGCTGACAATTTAAATCGCATAACATAAACTTTGGCGTACAAATTCATTTTAGCAATGTTGAAAAAATACTAATTTGTTTTTGGCAATAAATTAATTGAAACACACCAATTCGACACTTGTTTATCAATAACACTATTAAATGCTCGTCCATAGCCGAGGCTGTTGTGGTGAACAGCTTGGCAAAGGTGAATTTGCAAACAACCGTTATTGGGAACCGGGGCATGTATTATATCGCGCAGATGCAGAAGCTTATTATGCGTTTGTGTAGCAGCGACTGCATGTATATTAAATGTTTTATTTTATTGATTTATAAAATTTAGAGAAGTGTGCGAAACGGTTCGCATTGGTTTTATTTTCACTTATACCGACATCAGAAGCGAACTGTGGTGAACTACTGTCAGCTTGCCGCCACGAACATAATTTCGCTTCAAATTCACCATTCCGTTAGTTTAGTTCATATTGCTAGTTTGTTATAAAAAGAAACAGCACTTGCCTAAGCCGCGTAATTTACAAATATAATTTCGTATCCCCGAGTCATTTCCCGAATTTAACCGAAAAGTTTGATTATAGTTTGAACAAGATTCAGAGTCTGAAAACAAATTAAGAAGCTGCTCTTAAAACGCGCGTCACGACAGCATTAATATCGGGATTTAACTGGCTGGCAACATTGCAGAGCTAACAGCTGTTGCGGTGTAAAGCTGCCAACTTGGGCCAGTGTACCAGTGTTGGCAAATGGCAGCTGATAGTTTAACCGGCATTAATACATAAAAATAACTAATCCGTTTCAATATGGTGCAAAAAATATTAATGATTTGCCTGGGTAATAAACTAATTGAAAGCAAAAATGGCTCGACATACTAATCGATTTTACACAGGCAACATCTGCCGCTCGCCCATCGCCGAGGTGGTTATGGTTGACAGCTTGGCCAAGGCGAATATTGAAGGTGTTGCTGTCGACAGCGCCGCGCTCGGATCTTGGCATGTGGGAAATCGCGCAGATCCGCGTGCCTTGAGCACACTTAAGAAACATGGCCTCAATAGCACGCACATTGTGCGCCAGATTAAAACGCAGGATTTCACTGACTTTGACTACATATTTGGCATGGATGAGGACAACATGAGCCAGCTGCGCAGCCTGGCGCCGAAGGGCTCCAAGGCGGAGCTGCTTATGCTGGGCGATTTTGGGCTGAACGCAAAGGACCGCATCATTGAGGATCCCTATTATGTAAGTTAACTGTCAATTGCTTGCAATTTAATTCATATTTCTATGTACGTTGGCAGCAAAGTGGCGTCGAGGGCTTCGAGACGGCCTATCAGCAGTGTGTGGTGGCTTGTGAAGCGTTTGTAAAGCAGCGACTGCAAAAATAATCTTAGTTAAATGTTGTTGTACATAGTTGATTTATAAAATGATTAAACCGCAATTAAAATGAGTGTGCATACCGGTTTGTCTATGTGTGTGTGTGCATGCACTGTTTACATGCATTGTTACTCATTGTGGTGAAATACTCTCAGCTCGCTGCAATAAATTCGATTTCGCTCTGCTTTTGCTCTACATTCACCATTTCGTTAAGTGTTGAGCAATATCTGATCTGTTTACAGTTAAATTAAGTGTTATACTGCAGAAAATTAAAATTATGTTGTAAAAATTCTCACTTGTGACATGAAAGTTTTATTTGTTTGTTTGGGTAAGTGGTAAATGATAATGTAAGATGTTTTTGAGCAATTACAAATGTTTATCTCAATAGGGAACACCTGTCGCTCGCCCATGGCGGAGGCGATATTGCGGCATTTAATAAATAAAAAACAGCTGCACAATTGGCACACGGACAGCGCCGGACTCCGGGATTGGAATGTGGGTCTGCGGGCGCAGGGGCGCGCCCAAGACTTGCTGCAACAGCACGGCCTAAAGACCCAACATCTAAGTCGTATTGTATGCACAGAAGCTAACTATGAAAATAACAATCTTACACCTGGTCTCAACTCACAGATAACCGCGCAGGACTTTTACGACTTTGACTACATCTTCGGCATGGATGAATGCAATCTGGCGGAGTTGCAGGAAATGGCAGCTCAGCTGCAGCCGCAGCCCAAGTGCCGCATACTACTGCTAGGCAGCTATCTGAATCGCAAGGAAGACGAGATTATCCAAGATCCCTATTTTGTTATTACCTTAAGATGTACTTATTGAAGCTGTTCATCAAACTCTTTTTGCTTGCAGAGTCACGGCATGGGCAGCTTTCATGCGGTGTACACACAAATCCTGGAGAGCTGCGAGCGTTTCGTGCAGCAACATGGCCATCCGACTTAGATATTGACAAAAACCTTTATACATTATGTTTAAGCGCGTGATATTTTATGATTCAGCTAAATATTTTATGCACAATGTTTCATTGTAAAACTTTTGGTTCAATATTTTGAATTATTTTGTGTATTGTATTTAAGACGTCTTCTTTATGTCCAGCAAATTGTCACTTGATTTGCAAACCTAATCGATTCTCTGTAAGATTCCCACGTAAATCTAAAATCTTAGGTATCCCAAATATCTATCAAAAACAACGTACCCATAATTGAATAGATTAATAGTGTTAAGGCAAATGTAGTTCATTTAATATAGTTCGGCAATTGGTCGACCTGCATACATAAATTTAAGAGCCAGGCAAAGTTTTAGTACTATTGTTATAAGAATTATATTATATCTTGTTAGCTATCACAAACCATTTTGTAGATTTATTTATCTTCATAAGCCTGCTTAGAACACCTTGCCCTGCAGCACTTTGTCCATAAAACGTGCCCAGCTGTGCTCGAGCAACTGATACGCTCGTTGCTGTTCCTTTTCCGTGAGCGCCGAGTAGCGTATTGAGTTGAAAACGAGCGTTTTTAGGACACGAATTCCGGCATTGTTGGGCGCCATGCTCATAATAGCATAGTAGAAGTCATAGCTGAGGCCCTTGGCATTCCAAAAGCCGGGATCGTCATTGCACACGACGACAGGCACATCCAGCGCCAGATACTGTGCGCCGGGATGGTTGCGCATATCCGAGACCAGGTGCAGCACCTGATTCGAGATGGGATTCAGCTCGACAGCGATCTGTCGCGCTTTTACGGCATTCATCAGAATGGGATGCTTGACCAGAGCGAAGGCGTGGCCAATGCGCGTGGTATTGAGCAGCAGGGCGTCTAGCATATTGATATCCGTCGAGGCACTAAACCAATCTGCAAGGAATACACTTGGAATAACTTCTCTCGGAGGTGCTTCTCAGGTCACTTACTTGTTTCGCCCGCGTGCAGAAACAAACGTGTGCCGGGCGGCAGATCCTTTAAGGCCGTCAGCTGCTCGTATATGGGCTTTCCCTTGTCCTCCTGGCCCACTAGATCGAAGCCGATCACAAACTGCGGAAAGGTCTCCCTGCAAGAGAACAACTGAGTTAAGCCGGGACAAAGATCTTTGAGCAGCCACGCCTACTGTAACAGTTTGAACTCCTTGACATTCTCGCGCATCCGATCCGCGTCCGCGCCTCGCCACACGGCATAGATGACCTTGATGCCCATGAAATTCGGATGCAGGCGGACAAATTTCTCGTTCAGCGACTGCAGCTCGCGCACCGCCTGATCCCGCGGAAAGGTACGTCCGCTGGCGTCGTAGAGCTGCAAGAAGGGAGGGAAGAGAAGGCAGGGTCAGGCGAAAGCTTAGTAAGCCGTTTGGAGCTCTCACCTCTCGCAGGCTGATGCGCAGCTCGGCGTACATGACATTGTCGTTGTAGAGCTCCTCCAGCATCTGCCAGTGATAGGCTCGATAGGCGGGCAGGTAATAGATGGCCTCTGTCAAGGTGTCGAACATGCCCTGGAATCGGTTCCAAACGGCAGTTATTGTCGGATACTCCACTGCAAGAAAAATGTGCATAATTATTTATTTGGAAACGTGTCCATTCCGAGCTGGAACTCACGCTCCGGCACGGGCGTATACAAATTAATGAGCCGCTCGAAATTCTCATCGTACAACGCCGGATCGATGGAGTTGCGCCTCTCGTCCGCCACGTAGACATACTGTGAGGTGCAGCCGTGCTCCTTGACGGCGCGCCGGAAGCTCAAACGGCTGCGACCGGCCGCGTCCGTGCAGCGCATCATGCCCGGCATGTAGGACATGTTCTGCAGCACCCACCTGGAGCTAACCGCCGCAGTGTTATGCATATGGAGCACAGCTCCCTTGGGCATCTGCTGCAGGAACCGGAAGATCGCACTGCGATCGATCAGCGGCTTGGCCTTAAAGAAATGCATGGCAGCTGCATTCTGTTCGGCATTGCGAAAACCCTGCGCCAGCTCGCCCAGCTTGTACTGCATGAAGAGATCGTCCACCTGGGACTCCTGCGTGCTCAGACTGGTGCGGCCGCCGGTCATGAGCTGCTCCTCGGCACTGAGCACCGCCTGGCGCGCCTTCTCATAGCCTGGAGAACGCAATTAAATATATTACATTATATGCATCCAACCTGCCCGAATCCTTACTCAAAGCCGTCTCCGATTTGGTGGAAGGAGGATTAACGAGCAGTCCGACCAGCAGCAGGAAGAGTCGCCACATGTTCTCGAATGGCGTCAGCGAAAGAAATTTTGTTTGACTCTAGCTTCGATTTGCTTTGGCCCAATTAATGAGCCGCCTACGCAAATATTTGTCTATTACCTTTTACAGGTGTGATAATTACGTGTGTGCCTCGGCTTCAGAGATATGTATATTCTATTGTCCCATTGGTGGTGCGCCCGTTCGCCAGCCGTGCTCTTCGAGAACTGGGCGAGGAGCTTGTCGTCAGTTTATCATGCGGTGGCAAAAAATTATGGCATAGTTGTTGGAAATTGCTTAAGCCCAAACAACACACTATTATTCACAATTAATAAATGTTTTTCTTCATTTTTTTGTTGTTGCGAAATTTGTTCTAGTAGCGAACATTTCGCTGGTTTTTCGACTCGAGGCATATGGCTGTGCATATCAAGTGAATCAAAAAACTCAAAAAACAGACCCAAGCCCGCCCAATGCTTTTTAATTGATATACCCTGTAGCTCAACGAGCGGCGACGGGGTATATACAGTTGCCCAAGCAATGTTTCAAAGACCCAGAAATTATTCTAACTCGACTTTTAGCACTTCATTTTCATAGTTTGATGTCATACAAAATTAGGACACTCCTTGTGACAGGATTTTTAGGAATATAAGAATATATATATTTAAGAATATACATAAATATTAGGGAAAAGCATTCCATTCTTTCCCATCGTATTCTATTCTATTCCATTCTATTAGATTCTCACTAAATTCCTACAGCTAAGCTGAAAGCAGAGAGAGAGAGAGAGAGAGAGAGAGAGAGAGAGAGAGAGAGAGCGAGCGAGAGAGAGAGATAGATTTAAAGATAGAAAAAGAGAAACTGAGAGAGTAAGATCCGTTAAACACTGTAAATTTGAAGACATCTTTATATTTCTGAGAGAGAGAGAGAGAGAGAGAGAAAGAGATAAATAGAGAGTGAGAGAGAGAGAAAGAGGGAGAGAGAGTAATACTCGCTAGTCACTTTACATTTGCAGACATCTTTTTATATTTGAGAGAGAGAGAGAGTAAGTCCCGCTAAACACTTTTTATTTTTAGAAAGAGAGAGCGAATGAGAGTAAGAGATAGAAATAGAGAGAGAGAGAGAGAAAGAGAAGGAGGAGAGAGTAATACTCGCTAGTCACTTTACATTTGCAGACATCATTTTATTTTGGAGAGAGAGAGAGAGAGAGAGAGAGTAAGTCCCGCTAAACACTTTTTATTTGAAGAAATAGAGAGAGAGAGAGAAATAGAGAGAGAAAGAGAGAGAGTAGTACTCGCTGGTCACTTTACATTTAAAGACATCTTTCTATTTTTAAGCACAACTCGCAGTCAAATCTTTTCGACAGCTTACAGGGCATCTCTTAGTCGAGCAATGCTCGAGAGGCGCTCGTTAATTGTCAACTGACGTTTACGGACGCGCTTAGCTGGTTTCTAATCGCATACGAAATGAGCTGTTCCCCGTACGAGTCGATGCTCTTCTCGCCGGGAGTTCGCTTTTGGGGGCTGGGCGTACGAATACTTAACGGTAATTGGAGACATCAAAAACAAAGTAATCCGTCTATTTATAAGAAATAATTTGTGATATTTTAGAATAAATGCAACGTCACCTCAAATAACAGATAATTGGAACAATTACCAGTGCTATAAAATGCGAAACAATGTACAAAAATTAAATATTTATTTAACTTGTAATTTCAGTTGAGAGTTTATTTATTGTAAGAAGGCCTTGCAGGCTATTTTTGTTTATTTTGTTAATAGCCGGGCTTATTGTTTTAAATCAGTTGAATGCCCAAGCTTTAAATCAAAACAATCATAAATTCCTTCTTTTTAATACTGTTTTCTAGTGTTAAACAATTATTTGATTATTATCCACATAAGCAGTCGGTACAGTTTACATATTTCCCACGATTCATTTTACTTTTTCCAGCATTGTTCTCTTAAAACTGACAATCTATATCGCTCTCTCTCCCCCCCCCCCCCCTCTCTCTCTCTCTCCTTACCCTTTCGCACACTTATTGTTTGGGGCTTTTAATGTGGCAAATTTTTACATATCCCATTCAATGCCAAGTATCAATTTTAGTGGCCCCAAAACAATTTGGGTTAGTAAACAACATGCAAAAAAAAATAAAACATTTTTAACTAAAAATATACAAAAAAGTGCTGATAACAATGCACATAGAAGTAGCTGGGCATGCGCGACTGACAGATGCCCTACAATTAGATAATAATTATAATATGCTATAAGAAAAGTTTACTTTTCTGGAATATATAACTATATATATGCCAAGCTGTCTCTAGACATTCTAGATCGCAGAAGCTGCGCTCTATGTGCAGAGACTTTCTATATGAATATGCTTTCTTAATTAACTCGGGTGTTTATTGTCCGATCCTTATGAAATTTTCAGGGCTGGAATATGACATATAAAAGTGTGTGTATACCAAAACGCAAGTTAATTCTCTTAAAATAAAGTCAATCTAGCTATTTCTAACGTAAACGGGAAAGTGATAAAAAAAAAGTGAGGTATTCCTTATATGTGTATACCAAAAGAGAAGCTAATTTTCAAGTTTGATGTATCTAGCTCTTATAATCCTCGAGTTATGTTCAAGAACCCAGACAAAGATTCTAATACACAAGGTTAGAAATTTATCATGTTCGTATGTAAATGTGGAACACTAGATGGGTATACATATAGTATGATAAGTCTGTGCCATGCAGGGTGTCCGACTATGCAAATCCATATTTATATATGTATATAGATATATATATATGTAATTTTCGCGCCCCCGTCGGTCAGTGGGCGCAATTTGCATATTGCTGACATTGAACTCTGGCACAGCTGGCTATGATCTCTCTCCCTCCCTCGCCCTCCCTCTCCCTCTCTCTCCCTCACTCGCTCTCTCTTTCTCCCACGGAGAGCATCGGAAAGACTTTTTTGGAGAGCCCAAAATGCCCGCTGATAGGCGCGAGTCGCCAGCGGGCTTTATCAGTTAGCAAGTGAACGGCAAACGAGAAGGTCGAGCAAATATATAGAACTATTCAAATTAACGTCTATATATTCAAAGTCGAGCAATTGCGCGATGCTGCTGGAGCTGCTGTGCCTGTGCCTGTCGCTGCTGGGCCAGCTGCGCGGCGCAGATCTGCGTAGGTCAACAGCGTGTAATCGATATCCCCGAACTGATACCCTGCTTTTGTAATTCCATTCAGCCTATGAGACGCTGCGCGAGCGTATTATGAAGGCGGAGCAAATGGCCTCGCTGGGCGGCAACCTGTGGCTCACGGCGGACGAGGAGAAGGCCAACAGCATTTTGATGAACGCCAAGCGCGCGGAGATTGCCGAGGGCATCAAGCATCCGGAGAAGTATGCGCCGGCCATGCACTTCTTTCAGGGCAAGCAATTTGTGCGCCAGAGCGAGGTGTTCCGCATCATACAGAAGATGCCGAAGGGCGCCTTTCTACACGGCCACAACACGGCGATGGTCAGCTCCAAGTGGATCGTCGCCAATCTGACCAACACGAACAATCTATACACCTGCCGGGACATCAACGGGCTGCTGATCTTCACCTACGATACGGCCAGCTCGAAGTGCCACAGCGAGGAGCAGAATGTGTGCACGGAGCGCATCAATGCCGAGGATCGGCATCAATACGAACGACAGCTGGAGAGGCACATCAATATGCACAGCACCCGGCCGGAGTGTAAGTGATCCGATCTCTCGATTATTCTCTTCTCTATTCTCGACTCTGGACAGCTCTGTTGCCGAACCGAAAGAAGATCTGGGATCGTTTCGAGAATATTTTCACCACGGTCGATCGTCTCTATAAATATCAGCCCACATATTGCGCCTATCACAAGCGTCTGCTGGAGGAGCTCTGCGAGGACAACATCATGTATGCCGAGCTCCGATTCTCGCTCTCGCCCGTAAGTATGCTACGACTGGAACTCTTCACCAATCTTCAAGCTGAACCTCAACTCTTTGTGGCCAGCTCTATGATGACAACAATCGCACCTATAGCTCGCTGGATGTGGCCAATCAGCTGGAGCGCATCGTCGAGGAGTTCAAGGCCAAGCATCCGGACTTTGTCGGTCTCAAGGTCATCTATGCGAAACGCAATCGCGCCACGGAGGAGAAAATGGCCGAGAATATACGCACCTTCAAGCAGTTGCAGTAAGTACAAAAAGCCTAGTGAAGGTCCCAATCCTTACGGCAACTCATAGTTAATATATCCATAGAAATTATCCGGCGTCGCCCGACATAAACAGCGCGCCAACCTCAAACAGATACAAATTTCCAAAACGCATTCGCCCCCTTTTTAATACCCTTGCATTATTTTGATTATAAATAAATGAAGGTATAATTAATTTGAACCGGCGATCTTTCGCTTGCTAGTTCGATGCTGTTGATGTTTTTGAGGCTTGGGCTGTGCGTTGATCAGCAATATTTTATATATGGAGGCTTACTTACTAAATAATAATAATTTACTTAATAATAATCCAGCTCCGCCAAGCCCAACTTTATCATTGGCTTCGACATGATTGGACAGGAGGACACGGGCGACATGTTGAGCAAATATGTGAATGAATTCTCCGATTTGCCCAGCACCGCCAACTATTTCTTCCATGCGGGCGAGACAAGTAAGTGAGGGTTTCCGAATCCTTAAATCATAGTTGGCTCTAAGAATCCTGAATCCCACTCCTTAGATTGGTATGGACGCACCGACTGGAACATGATGGACGCCATTTTGCTGAACACAAAGCGCATTGGACACGGCTTTGCGCTGCCGAAGCATCCGCAGCTGTGGTCGACGATCAAGAAGCGCAACATCGCCATCGAGGTGAATCCGTTGTCCAACCAAGTGTTGGGCTTCATCTGGGATCTGCGCAATCATCCGGCCAGTTTTCTGATAGCCGAGAACTTTCCGATTGTCATCTCCGCCGATGATCCAGGCGTGTGGGGTGCCAAAGGCCTAAGCTATGATTTCTACTATGCCTTCATGGCCATGGCGCCGGCCGAGGCGGATTTGCGATTTCTCAAGCAGCTGGCGCTGAACTCCATCAAATACTCGGTGCTCACCTCTCTGGAGAGGCGCAAGTTCAATCGCGTGTTCCAGAGGAAGTGGCAAGAGTTTATTGCAAACATCTTAAATCCCAAGTTCAAATAGTAGCTAAATTTAGAATAAGGCTAAGTGCTAAAGTGAATAGAAAGGGCGACTAACTAGCGGATAATTATTTAACATGCAGTTTAAACGGCATTGGCCGCAAACCAGCCATGCAGGCACTTGGGCACGGGTCCATTTGTGTGGAATTCACAACGCCCGAGCTCCGTCATGGTCTTGGCGCACAGCACAACGAGGCCCACATAGCGATCGTTGAGTCCGCCCGCCACCATGGAGGCCAGCAGGACGCCGTCGTCCTCGCTCTGCGGCTGCGGCGCCGGCACAAAGATCGGCTCGCTGGGATAAATATTCGGCTCACACCAGGTCGCACACGTTTTGCTCACGACATCCACCTTGATGAGCTGTGAGTGAGACGGGTTAGCAAAAGGTAATTGGATTTATCCTCCAGCTTACCGTGCCCGGATTCTGTGCATCCACATCGGAGCTGATCGCATAAAAGTAGCGATAGCTCTTGCCCATGTGTCGCTCGTAGTATATCCTGGGCGTCTCGCAGCCCCAGTCACACAGCATTTCGGGTCGCAGGTATATGCCGTTGGCAACGCGATACGCCTCCGCTTGGCTGTGCTCCAGGCTGACCAGATTGATGCAGCCGTCCTCCTCCTGCTTGCCGGGACTCCCCTCCTGCTTGCCATTGGTGGCCATGTAGCTAATGTCCGCATACTGCGAGGCGGAGTGCCTGAGGCGTGCCGCAGGCGTCGGGGGCGTCAGACCCGCCAGGGATAGCGACTTGACCAGGCGTCGCTTGCCGGAGCTGCAACAGGCGCCCAGTGGAAGCACGAAGCGCAAGGGACGCCCGCGAAAGAGCTGCGCATAGTTGGGATTCGTTTGCATATTCGCAATCGCCTCCAGGTACATGCAGTTGATCATCTCCGGATTTCTGTAGCTGCATATGTCCACCACGACATGCCCGTCCTGCTCGTACGCATTGATGATGTGCAGGTAGAAAAATGCCTCCGATTCGTAGCTCTGCACCAGCTTGCCCGTAACGCGATCTATCAGATGAAACAGCGTCGGCTTCTCCGCGTACCATTTCAAGCAGGCCGCCAACTTTTGATTGGACAGCTGCGTCTTGAGGTATTCCGGCAGAGATACCGACAGCGGCTGCTCCACAATGACAAAGTAGTGCTCGGTCAGGCCAAAGGTGTGCATGTAGCCGGGATGCAGTTTCCAGCGGCAGGGCAATGTGGCCACCACGTGCGCATCCTCGAACATGTGCCGACCGTTCGGAAAGCAAATGATGCTATATGTTGGCCCAGATTTGGTCATGCTGGTGCCCAGATTGTAGACCGTGCCGCTGGGCAAGATGTGCGGATGCGATGTGTGGTTGATCACGCCCACAAAGTCGGTGGTGCAAATGCGTCCCTCGGTGGCCAGCGTACACGGATTTATGCTAAAAGCAAAGGTTGTCAATTGAATTACACAAGTAGCCGACTAGTAGATACCCTATTCGCAGTTTCGAACTGCATCAAAATCGTTTAACTATCGATCTAATCTATATGAAACTTTCATTGACATCTAAAAAGCAAAAGGTAAAGCTCTTGAAAAACATGTACGACGCATTTCCAAAAAGTTCATTTCTGTACTCCAAGCCTACATTTCAAATTTTAACTCTAATAATCTCTGAGATATGCTCAAAAAGCCTGGGCTATAAATCGATATATATCGATTTTAGCAAGCTACTTATCGAAAGATTAAAATGAAATCGAGCTGCGTTTGGCAAACGAGAACCTATATTAGCAAAATCGATATTTATCGGAAACATAGACTCAGAGCCAATTGACCTTATTTATAAAAAAGGTGATTTATATTTGGCATATGATAACTTTTATTCCCAATTTGATGTCCCTAGCCTTAAGTCTGCAGTATTTGCTCTGCAAAAGTTTCAATCGATAATTATCGATATAAGCAAAAGAAGGGTTAATGTTAATTTATATGTATTTTATATTACAGCTGATAATCCAACATTTTTAGATATCTAAATCTTCTAACTCACATAAATATACACAACTTAACTTTAAGTCTGCAGTATTTGCTTTGCCAAAGTTTCGATCGATAATTATCGATATAGGCAAAAGAAGGGTTAATGTAATTTTAAAGCTGATCCGTATAAGACATATTATAACTTAAAATCCATATTTCAAGATATCTAAATCGACTTCCTCACATAAATACACACAACCCAACCCGAACCTTCTCAAGACAGATCCCACAAATATCACGTATACGCACCGATGCATAAAGGGCGTCTCGGCAAATGTGTAATACTCATCGCCAAACGGATAAATGGATATCATGGAGTTGTCCGTGCCGCTGTCCGGCTTAAAGATGGCACCAAATTTGTCAAAGATCGAGTGACACGGATCCGGCACAGCGGCCGTGCCAAATTCCGTGACCACAATCCGTCGGGCTGCACGATTCTTTTGCAGCGTCTGCGTGTCCACGAATCGCGTCTGATACGTAACCCGGCCATTTTTAATGGCAAAGCGATGCAGCAGCGCCGAGCAGTCGAACAGGTGGCCAAATGTCATGTCGCCCACCTGCCAGCTGCCGGGCCCGTTGCGCAGCAGGCTGCCATTCAGCCAGCCGGGTATATGGCCACTCGCATGACCCTCCAGAGGCTCAAGGATCTCACGCTCGCAGGAGCGCAGCCAGACATCCGAGGAGCAGTTGGGATAATAGCGACCGTTGCCATCCAGACGCTGTGCCTCCGGATCAGCGCGCTGCTCATCGTAGTTGACCTGCGGGGAAGGAGAGAGAAGGTGCTGAGATGAGGAGGATTATTGATTGACACGATTTTGGATTTGTTTAATGCCAATAAGCTGGCTTTGAGCCACGGCTTAGTCTCGATTAGCTGCTGTCAATTCCACGCATTACACCCATTCCACCCGTTCCACGCATTTGACCCGTTCCACCCTTTCCACCCGTTCCGCCAGCCCATCAAATTATCAGCTTACACGTTTACACTCAGTTTGTGCACATATTTGAAATTCATTTGATATTCAAGTATCTCATGTTATTTTTTGTTTTTTTGGCACCTTTTCGGAAAAACAGTTTTTAAATTATTGAATAAATTTCACAATTGTTTTTGTAGACTAACCGCAAAAAAGTCGCGCATTAAACTTTTAAAGACGCGTGCGGACATTTGCAGCGAATGTTGCCGGAACGCCAGAGATTCGAAGGCAAACGTAACAGGAAAAAAAAGCAAAAAAAAAAAAAAACAAATCTCAAAACAAAACAATCAAACTCAAAATCAGGTATTCCCTGACAGCAGATGCAATGCCAATCCAACCACGTCAAGTCCCGCTCAGCTGGCAAATGTTGCGAGCGACCCGCCACAAGCCCAAACAACAACTGGCAAAAGCCCAGCCAAGGCGGTCGCTGGCTCGCCAACTGCCTCGAGGGTTCGCCCATTAGGGGGATGGGTGGATAGCTAGAGAGAGAGAGAGAGAGGAGGGAGCGGGCCCAACTGACCCTCCAGGCAGGCGGTGGGCCAGCTTTATTCATAATTCAGATTGACAGCCGCTCGTCGTCAGAGTAGTTCGCGTCGGAGCCCAAGCAGGGCAGAAAATTGAAACAGAAAAAAACAAAAAACAAACAGCTTGCCGAAGACTAAATACTCTCTTTTTTGGCAAATGGCTTACGGGCTGGCTGCTTGTTACAGCTGAAGTCAGTAAAGATAGCTTGAAAATTAGAAAGGATTTCTATGAATATGATTTCTATAATCGAATTATAACGAGAAGGAAGGGCACGCCGAAGTTCTAATACCCATGCAGACCGAACATTTTCATAATGCTCATAGTGCTTTGACCGTATCTAAGAAGCACAGGGAAAATAGTTAATGCTGAGTTTGGTTAAGATATCTTGAAAACAAAAAGAGTTACTTTTCGACCGATCGTTCTTATGGCAGCTATATGATATAGGGGTCCGATCCAGCTGGTTCCGACATATGTACTGCGTACAACAGAAAGAGGGACTTCTGCAAAGTTTCAGTTTCCGATCAAAACTCTGCTGCTGCTGCTTGGCGTCACAAAATGTTTGATACAATTAAAATACCCTCGCTAAGGGTATTAAAAACAAATGTGTGCCACAGCATTTTTGCCGCTTCGGCGACAATTGAGCAGAGCCAAGCCACACGTGTCGGGTAACTTCTATAACTAACATTTTGGCATAGACTTAGGGCGAATGTGGAAATTTAATACAAACCCCAAGTCCCCCCTACCCTCTGCACCCTACACCCGCACACCCCACACCCACACAGACAGACAGAGAGACTGACCTTGCTGCCAAGTAATACGCAATTCTTCATATCTGTTGCAGAAGCCACAACAAAGCTTTGGAAAAAAAATACACTTAAATGGATAGCCACATGATGATAAAGTAAGTAAAACGCATTTGGAGCCCAGCCTAAAGGTAAGTCCAGCAAAAATTACGTATACGACACGTGGCTGCAGGCTGCAAGCTTATCTGATTAGATGTTAATTCTAATAGGATTTACAATTGAAAAATTCATCAAATTGAATTCATATAAGGCTTGCAATATATTTAGCAGCAATTACAAATTAATAACCTGAACCTTGACCCAACTAATTCAAGCGGGAAACGTAAGACACATATCATTTTATTTGGAATTTATATTCCTGGCTTGGGCTTAAGTTCATGATCATTTCAATTATGGCTCAGCCGGAGGCTAAATCTTTAGCTCAAACAATTTCAATTGATGGAAATGAGTGCAAGTTCTCGTCAGGTGCATCCCGAGCATTGCCCCAGTTTAGGCAAAGTTTAAATTGGTTTCAATTATTGTAGCTCGCCCAGCTGCAGGCACAGTTCATATTTGTTTTAAGGTTTGGCGCCCGGCAGCTGCATTAAATTTATTTTTTTTTTATTGAAATGCACTTTATGCAGTTTCAAATAACAAAAATAATATTTAAAGCTAGTCAGTTCGACAACTTGTATTATGGCAAGAAACCAATTATATTGCCTTATCTCTTAATTGGATTTTTGATCTAAGTTTAAATAAGTTTCCTCTTAAAATCTAATTTCAATTATGCACTTCATGCATACACCTTTCCAATTAGAATATATGTATATATTTTTAATTAAACGTTAAGCTCACTTTTCGTAGGTGCTGCAAAGCGCATACGCACAGCTGGGCGCTGCTCAACACTTTACGCGCACATCAGCTGTGGCCTGACAACAATGAAAATGCAGTTTCAAATAACGGCATATTTAACACAAATTAGTTCCGCAACTTGTGTTATAGCATGAACCCAATTATATTGCCTTATGCAATAAGGTTTATCTTTTAATTGGATTTTTAATATAATGCTTAAATTTGTTGCCTCTTTAGATCGAATTTGATTTATGCGCACTTCTAATTAGAATATCGGTTTATTTTTCAATTAAATGTTAGGGTCACTTTTCGTTGGTGTTGCAAAGCGCATACGCACAGCTGGGCGCTGCTCAACACTTTACGCACACATCAGCTGTTGCCTGACAACAATGAAAATTAACGGCGCAAAACAGCGCCGAATATAAATAATCAAGATAAATATATATATTTTAAATATTCTTTTTTTTTACGCGCCTGCAGCGACGAGTTCAACAGCAACTTCTTGAACCCCGTTAATTGTGGTACTTGTGATAACTCCACCGATTGCAGAGGTGATTTCAATTTGGACGCGGTGCACTCCAACGATTGCTACGCCCAATACGACTGCCCCTGCGAGATGGCGGAACGCCATAATTTCGGTGGCTCCTATGCCGCCGGCAGTCGCATACCGAGGGGCGCGGCCAGGCCGCGTCAAGGTCCATCGCCGCGCAACAACTACTCGTTCCAGCCGGTGTTCCATGAGCGCACCAACATGGAGGACGATGCGCTGTTGTCCGATAATCTGTGGAAGCTGGCCCGCAAGACGGGCACATTGAATATGACCAACAAGGGCATGTCACGCGGTAAGTAGCCAAATGCCAATTTCAGATGCATTTTGCGTTATGATACTGTGTATGTGTGTGCATGTGTATGTATGTGTGTAGTGGTTACGGCAGAGACAATGCGACGCTGGAACACGATGATCAATAATCCAGTGAGGCATGAGACAGAAACACATTCGGGGGCAAGCTCGCATTCGGCCGGGTTCATGGACAGCAGCGCCTTATGGTTTCTCTATATGTAGATGTGATCTCGAACCTTGCCCCTGGCCTGACCATAGAAGGCGCCGTGCCATATTACACGCCTCACTAGTCAATCCCCACGAGCGGCAACTGATGTCATCTTGATTTATATTTTGTTATTTTTGTTTTGAGTGTTCCCCACGAGCGTTCAGTTTGTGCGTTGCGCTCGCTGCCCGCAGAAGTGTGTCTCGCTTGCATCGTTTTGTGTACCAAAATATCCATCAAGATTGCGTCCTCGAGGCAAACAAGGAAGCAGCTCACATCGTTTTGCATGTGTGGTCCGCATCCGCGACGGCGACGGCATCAGCAACAACGATATTATCAAATACGGGAATTTCAAATGGCCTCATCACCCGATGAGCTGGAAAGCGACGATCCAGATGATGAGATTGAACTTGAACTGGATGATCCAGCGCCACAGACCAGCAAAGATGCCACTGCTCGTAGAGATGATAAACACAATCCGACACGAATTCTAATGCTCATCCTCCCTTCTGTTGACTATTGCAGTGCCCGAGCGTATCTATGACATTAACGAGCCCGATGAGGACAGCAAGAAGGCCAATCTGGTGCAGTTGTCCATTAGCGAGGAGGATGCCTGGTGGAATCAGGTGCCGCTGGAAAATCTCGACCTCAGCTCCAATGCCCTGTCGCATATATCGCCCAAAATTGAGAATCTGCTGACGCTAACCGTGCTGCAGCTGCATGACAATGCGCTCGTCGCGCTGCCGCCAGAGATTGGAAAGCTGGAAAAGCTGGTGCGCCTGAATCTTGGCCACAATAAGCTAAGCGAATTGCCAATCGAGCTATTCAGCTTGCCAGAGCTGCGGCATCTAAATATATCGCATAATGAATTCATTGAGCTCAATCCGGACATCAGCAATTTGCACATGCTCGAGTTCCTGGTACGTATCGGTTACGATTCGAACCAATTCTCTGGCTTAAGTTTGATATCCGAAAACCGATTTCACACACTCGTAAAGCCACGTTTTGATTCAAACCTTGGGCTGTCATATATATATAAAAAATTAATCTGCTTTTGGGCAACTAGTTTGGTTTAACTTTCGCTTCATAGTAAGAGTAAATTGCCAGTTAAACCAGTTGGATCCCAAACCTTGAGGCATTTAAACTAATCCTTTAACCAGCTTCAACTAATCCAATTCGTATTTTCCCCTCCGCCCGCACACTTACCCACTGAACCAAATGCTTTGCTAACATCATTCAAAAACCAAGGATGCTGGGAACAATAACATAAACAGCTTGCCTGGTGGCATTGGGTTTCTGGTGCGTCTAACGGCTCTGCTGCTGGCCAATAACCACATCAAGGAGCTGCCGCCCGATATTGTCTATATGCGCTGTAAGTTGGCATTAAATCCCAAATCGTATGCTATAGTAATTGCTCTTCGGTTTGAAGCACTGCAAAAGCTGGACCTGATGAAGAACGATCTGATCGCCTTGCCGGACGACATGGGCCTGCTGCGCAAGCTGCAATGCTTGTATGTGCAGCACAATGACATCAAGGAGCTGCCTGACTTTGAGGGCAATGAAGCGCTGAACGAACTGCACGCCAGCAATAACTTTATAGAGGTACGTGACTTGGAGATACTTTGTGCAGGTAATCAAAACAATTTTGTTCGTGCAGCGCGTGCCGAAGGATCTGTGTGCCAATTTGCCGCATTTGAAAATCTTGGATTTACGCGACAACAAGATCACACAGCTGCCCGACGAGGTGTGCCTGTTGCGCAATCTGAATCGCCTGGATGTGTCCAACAATTCCATTAGTGTGCTGCCCGTCACCTTGGCCTCGTTGGCGCATTTGATCAGCCTTCAGGTGGATGGCAATCCCATCAAGACAATACGACGCGACATTCTGCAATGCGGCACAGCACGCATTCTTAAAACGCTGCAAGATCGCGCCCAGGCCAAAGGCCGCGAAGATGGCGGCGCCGAGGATGTGGCATGCAGCAGCCGATCAGCTGCATCCAGTCAACAGCAACAGCAATTGCCACCCAATATGACCGACAAGTGAGTATTGGGCGCAATGGGTACAGTTTTTTTTCCATTGATCAGGCACTGATCCAACGATGCAGCAGCTACCAGCAGCCCGGTTGCGCCCAGCCGCCATTCAGGCACTGTCATTGCCAATGCCAGTGCCAGCACTTTATGCACAATCACCACCAACATCACCAGGAGCAGCAGCAGCCGCATTGCGGCTTATACTATCCGCCGTTTAATGGGCCACCAAAGTATATGCCAGAGGATTACGAGCAGGAGCAGCAGCAACAATTTGGGCATCCCAACCATTATGCGGCGAACCAACAGATGCCCTATCAGGATACCTATTTTAATGGCCATTATATGCCCGGCTGTGCATCGATGACACCAGCCCATCAGGCTGCCTATAACCAGTTCAATCGTTGTGTTGTGCAACCCCGTTGGGTGTAGTGTATCACCAAGTTCCAAAAACACAGCCATAGCATTCGATTGTTATAGAGCTATTCATATGCCCTTGTTGTCACAAAATCCATAACATTCTTGATCAGCAGCAGTTAGAGGCATGTCCGTCTGTTGGCTTTAGAGCTAGCAAAGCTCCCCGTTTTTTAACTTAATCCTAATGAGACACTTCCTTAGACGAACCTCGTAATGCTCCCAAGCATTGGGCGCATCTGAGAACTATATATCTATTTTAATAGCTTTCTTAACCAATTCCAACTATATCAAATTAAATTAAATTTGTGGCACATTTGCCATCTGGCTGCAAGGGTATATAATCTTCGGCACTGCGAAGATCATTCTTCCTATTGTGATTGTGATTTAACAGCCATTACTCATGTTGTGTATTGTATCTTACAGATACAAGCTGCGTCACACGCGCACTTTGGCAGTCAATTTGGAGAACCTCACGGATGTGCCGACGCACGTCTTCGAGCTGGCCAGCGCGGAGAAGGTGCATGTGGTGGATTTTGCCCGCAATCAGCTGATTGCTTTCCCGCCGGGGTAACTCATGAAATACATACTCTAAATATATATATATAGGCTAACCCTTCCTTTTAGTTTGCAGCGCATGTCCAATTTGGTAACGGAGCTTGTCCTGGCCCACAATGTCATTGCCAGTGTACCAATTTTTATTTCCCAATTCACTCGTATAACATTTCTAAATTTGTCTAACAATGTTATTAAGGACTTGCCACCCGAATTTGGACTGCTCAACACGCTGCGCGAACTCAATATTGCCAACAATCGGTAGCTAATGCCATACAATCTGTATTATAGTCTATTATATATTGCCAACATTTGCAGCTTTGAGTTCTTGCCGAAGGGCCTGTATGAGCTGCAGGGCCTGGAGATTCTAGTTGCCAGCGATAATCACATTAAGACCCTGAACGTGGCCGGCTTGGAGGGTTTGCCCCGGCTGAATACGCTCGATTTGCGCAATAATGATATTGAATACGTGCCGCCCATACTGGGAAATCTAACAAATATTACGTGAGTGCCAGGAAATATATTGCCAGTGGCATTTCTTATACTCTGTTTATGTGTTCTGCTAATCTTGTTCTACTGCCTTTGCAGCCACTTGGAGCTGGTGGGCAATCCCTTTCGCCAGCCGCGCCATCAAATCCTGATGAAGGGCACAGATGCCATTATGTCCTATCTACGTGATCGCATTCCCACCTGAAGCAGCTAAACAGAGACGCATTATTATTTATTTAACGATAACTTAGCGCACATTCGAAGCGTTAATTAATTTATTCATTTATTATTGTTGTGTTGATTTTGAGACAAAAGCTTAACCAAATTAAAGTGGCGCCCGCACACGCTTACACACACACACACACAGCCAGCCAGACAATACAACCTGTCATGCGGCCAGTGTGTATGTGTGTGTGTGTGTGTGTGTGTGTGTGTGTGGGCGCCAGACGCGCGTAGTACCTTGTAGCATTTAACAAAGCACACACACACACACCTATCCATGTGAGCACTAGTCAGCATTTGGGTAACTCGCAAAGCGCACCTCGTTCAAACCTTGGCCAAAAACCTTGCAAAATAAAATATTAAACATTTAATTAAAAATCAACAAAGAACACTTTAATTTTGTAAGACCGATGTATATCAAAATTATCCCCATCAATGAAGCTCGAACCGAACAGGTTTTATAGGAAAAATTTAATTCCTTAGTAATTGTTTCTTAAAAGAATTGAGTTTTTGGGAATTTTATACCCTATAATATATACTCCATTGTTTATAATAGCTCGTAGTTTCGTTAAAGATATATAATATAAAAAAGTTTTTTATAGAATATTTAAGAATATGTTCAAAACTGGGAGACCAGAATAGAATCATATAGACAGACGGACGAACAGGGGTATAAGGACTCAACTTAGGGTATAACGAGTAGACTTGAGCGAATAAATTATACTCTATAATTCGAGAACATAACTATATTACCCTCTGCAAGGGTATATTGATGCCATCTCCTAATTATGCTCGACAACCTCGTTGCGCAGCCGTTTGGCCAGCGTGCGTCGCAGCTGCAGCGCCGCATTGTCAGCCTCAGCCACTGGCGCCGGCGGCAGTTTGTCCAGTTCGACATTCTCGAGCAGCTGTTGGGCCACCTGCGCGGAACTGGGCCGTGCGCCGGGCTCCTGGTGCTGCGGCGTGCTGCGTGCCACGGTGTCCAGCAGCTGCTTGGCGCGCGTCTGTTTCTTGATCTCGACTATTTTGTCACGCTGCTGGCGCAAATACTCCTGACGCGAGACCACCTCATTGGGATCCACCTGATCCTCCCGCTCGAAGAACAGATTCAGCCGCTGAAACTTGTCGTTGACCAGCTCCAAATTAGCCTCCTGCTCGGGCGTCAGCGCGGCCTCCGGACTTTCGAGCTCATCGGCCACAGTCTTGGCAATAAGCTCATCCACATCCAAATCGGACGCCGTATTGCTGCAAAGGTTACATATGATGCAATTCGAAATGGAACGCAACAAATGCCCACCTGGCTTCCGCGCCCGCTGCGCGCTCCGTATCCACCAGCTCTGCCGAAGCACTGTGCGCCAATTGATGCTTCTCGATGAGATCCAGCGCCTGCAGCTGCAGCTCCACATTGCGTTGCGTCATCATGCGTATAAAGATCTTCAGATCGTTGGCGGCCCAAATCTATAAAAGCGAGACTTAGCCTGGCATTTTAGGCGGATATGCAGCTGGGCCTCACCTGCTGAAAGAGCACCTGATGGAACTGGAAGGGATTCTCGCCGGGACCCTGTTGCCGTCCCTCCAAGCAGGCCAACTCAAACTGTTCCGGCGTTATGTGCATCTCCTCCATAAAGCTGCCCAGCATATAGTCCACCAGATTCTTGTATTCCTCATGTATCTGCCGTATCTCCTCGTTGCCCTCGTCCAGCTGCAAATTGGGATCAAAGACTGCGGCAACAAAACGATTTTGTTCAGTCCAGCACTATTTAGCTCCATCTCATATCCATACCCAGGGACTTTTGCTCAATAAATGTCTGCAACGGCGCATTCCAGACGGGTCCGTGCAGAAAACAGACCAGAGAATCGAATACCCAGGAATCTTCGGCAGCCATATTCACGGATTACGCAGCAAATCGAAACTGAAATGTCGTCAGCTCCTGGGCACGTAATGTTTGGTCATTGAAGTGGTTGCCATGGTTGCCATGGACACCAGCCACGCCACGCCCCGCCCCGCCCAGCGCACATAAAAAAACACATTGGGAAAAACTTTGCAATTTATGTTTGTTTTTTGTTGTTTTGTTTAAAAACTATTAAAAACTATGATTTTAATTATACTCAATCATATAGAGATGTTTTCAAATTATATATATATGTATGCATCGTATGTGTGTGTGTGTGTGTGTGTGTGTGAGTTAGGATTACAGGGTATTAGACGACAGCATATCATATACAAATACACATTTTCGTTAATATATTTAAATACTATATAATAAACTATAGTTGGTTTTTATTCTTTATGCATTTACGTTTATTGTTGCAATCATCAAACCAAAAACAACAACATGGAAGGATATATTTATTTATTTTTTGTTTGTTTGTTTATGTTTTAAGTATGTACGCACACACACACACACACACACACACACACACACACACACACACACACACACACACACACACACACACACACACACACACACACACACACACACACACACTCGTTTGTCGCGTGGTGGATGGGGGAGGGTGGTTGGGTGTTGCTCCAAAGAAAAATGGAAACCATTTCGCTTGAGGTTTTTCTTCACTTTTTTTTTTAGTTAAAATAAATATTTAAAAAAAAAAGCTGCTCACATGCACAAATGGCAAATACGATTATTAACAAAAAACTTTATTGTTTGTGTAAATCATTCTTGTTGTTGTTGTTGTTGGAGCTTCTTTAATATTATAATAGTATTTGTAAACTTAAAAACAAAAAATCTTACATTGGAAAACGCAAGAAGACTTTTCTGTTTGTTATTTAATTGTTTTTGTTTTTTTTGTTTTGTTTTGTTTATATGTTATGCGTATTTGTTTAAACCCATTTTTAAATCTATTTTGTAATTATCATTATTAGTTGTAAATGTTATGTGTGTGTGTGTGTGTGTGTTTATTTGTTATTGTTGAATGCAAAATTGTGGCGCAGCATCTCGATTGACTTAACAAATTATTTGTTGCTGCTTAGTTTTTTCGTAAGGACAAGTTGTTGTTGTTTGCTAGAAAAAAAACGTTTCCCGCCTTTTTTTTGCTATTTTACAAATCGTCACGCCTGTCGAATCATAATCAAGTGTTCATATTTTATAAAGTAGCTTGTAATTCGATATAACGCTAAATTATATACAAGGTTTATTTTAATTTAATCCATTTGTATCGTTCAATTGGGCATTTTACATATATGGCTAAAATTTGTGAATGCGCAAAACAAAATTTGTTGAGTTGGCTTTGGGTCAAGCTGTGTGGCATTCGAAAAGCAATTGTTTAACTTAAGTAATTAAATATTTTATAAATGTATTCAATTCGTATCTACAACAAAGTTTTGACCCGCTTTAAATGGCCAAAAGTTGTGGAAATACAAAATTATCTATAAAGTTTAAGGTTTACAACTAATTCCGAGTTAACTGAAAGTTAAGTTTACTTTTAGATAAAAAAAAATATATATAAAAGTTTACTTTAATCTTAAGAGAAAGTATTTTAAGCATTCAAATTTCTTCAGATCAGGCTGACTAATAACAGCTGTTAGCCATATAACAGCAGCTGCTTAAGATATGTTAATTAAACATAAACAGCTGCTGTTAGAACAAAACGCGGTCTGATTAACATCTGTAAGTCATGTCACAACATAAACAGCTTATCATTACAAAACTGAATTGTACAATTTTAACAGTTTCTGTTTAACATATTTCAGCTATGTTATAACATAGGCAGCTTCTGTTTAACATATGCTAATGCAGCAATATAGACAGCATCAGTTTAACAGCTGTTATTTATGTAGCAACATAGACAGCATCAGCTCAACATCTGTTAGTTAATAAATTTACAGTCTGTTTTACATTTGACATACAAAATAGGATATAATTATAACAATTGCTTTCGAATTAGCCACAACTTTTGATATTGCACAAAATCTTCAGATACTCTTCCACACAACATCTACTGGCGCAGCCAACTAAACAAGCTTTGTTTTTTAGGGGGTCGTCTATCTGTGAGCTTATTGAGCGACAACTCAAGCACCGAACCTAAACACTCTTCTCTATATTTTTTTTTCTGTCTTGCGTTGCTGCCGTTTAGTTTTACCTTCTAAATATATATATGTATATATATATATTTTGGTTTCTTTATGTTTTTGTTTTTTATTTTTTAAGCACACACAACGGCAATAAACGTTGCTTGTTCTTCTTCTTGATCAATAAGTGCGTTTTGCTATTGTGTGCACGTAATACATATATATATATATATATATATATATATATATATATATATATACGTATATATATATATATATATATATATATATATACGTATATATATATATATATATATACGTATATATTTATATATACCCTATAAGTTATATTCATGTTCATATATATATATATATATATATATATATATATTTTTTTTAAATATATATTTTGTTTAATTTAGTAAAGTAAGATTTTATAATTTCTTGTTTTACTTTTTAGCTTTCGGATTTGCTTTCTTTAAAATAAATGATTTTAGGCTAAAATTTAATTTTATATTTTGTTGCTTGTTCTTCTTACATGATCGCTTACAAGCAAAACGCGCCCCATCATCTGGGAGCCTTCCGAACTCTACCCGGGCTTCTTCTTCTTCTTCTTGTTGTTGTTGTTCCTTGTTCTTGTTCGATCTTACATCGTACCGCTCTATGCTTGGCTGACAATTGTTGCTGCTGCTGCTGCTCCGCCCACTCTTCAACCCTTGCATTCGCTGGTGAGTGTGTGTGTGTGTGTGTGTGCGTGTGTGTGAGAATTGGGTGTGTGGTTGTGTATGTGTGTGTACTATTTTATAATTGATGCCGCTGTGCTAAACGCCCCTTACTATGCAATACGCGCGCGCTTTTGTGCGTGGGGCCCATCCGAGTCCTCGTCCTCCTCGTAGTCATCTTCACCAGAATCGCTTTCATAATCCACCAGTCCCTTCAAGGATAACAAGCATATTTAGTTCATAATTCATTTGCATGCTTTCACTTCCTCGTTCAGCTTACCTTTTTGGTCGCCTTGTCCGCCTCGCTGCCGCCCGTTGGCGATTCTGCGCTGAGCGCCGTCTTCTCCCCATCCAGTTTAAGAGCATCGCTGGCTTCTGTGGCAGGTGGCTGTGGCTGTGGTTGTGGTTGTGCCTGCGGCTGCGGCCCGCTGCTGTCCTCACTGGACACAGCAGCTGTCGTTAAATTAGGCGTGCCAGTAGCAGCTGCTGCCGTCACCGAGGCGGCCATGGCTGTTGCAATTGTTGTCAAAAATTGAGATGCCGCCACGGCGGCCACTGTCGCCGAATCGCACAGTGCGGCGGCTGGCAAAGATGTTGTCGGCGGCGGTGTTGACGACAACGTGGACGCTTCCATTGATGACGTGGATGATGATGATGACGACGATGACGATGACGACGATGATGAAGATAACGAAGAGGACGACGACGATGAAGAGGATGCATTTGCTGCCGCAGCGTTGGCGGCAGACAGCACCATCTCCGGATTCTGTGGCACCACAGCGCTCAGCTGCTGCTGCAGCTCTGCAATCTCCGGCTGAGGCTGTTGCTGCTGCTGCTGTTGTTGCTGTTGTTGATGCTGCAGTTGTTGACTTTCCAGCTGCGCCGCAGCAGCCGCATTCGATGTGGAGGCGACAGCAGCAGCAGCGGCCGCTGCCACGAGTGTGCTATTCAGGGACAAAGTTTGCTGTTGCTGGAATGGATGCTGCTGCTGTTGTTGCTGCTGCAATGCAATGTTGGCAGCGGCGGCCAGCTGCACTGCTGCCTGGGCCTGCTCATCGGCAGCGATGGCGGAGTTGCTCGTCGCCTCGGGGCTGCTGCTGCTGGTGCTGCTGCCACTTGCCGCCGGCGCTGATACTGAGGTGGCAGTTGCTGTCGCTGTGGAATTCAGATTGCCCAAGAGACCACCGCCGTGCGGTGATGTACTGTGCGGCGGCGAAGATTTTTGCTGCGCCGTCTGATTTTGTGTTTGCTGCGGGCCATTTTTTTCGCTGACGGCTGTGCAAGACGCAACCAAAATGTAAATTAATAAACACAAATTCGAGCTAATTAATTCACTTACATTTCATGACATTGTTATAGCTATCGATTTCCTCGGAAAAGTCATCATCATCATTAAACCACATCTCCTCCTCCTCCTCCATCTGGCGCTGATCGCGACGAAAACGATTGCCGCTGCGTATCATGGGCAAACTTCTATCGGATTTATGCCAGAGAGTATTATAAGCATTTGTGTGGGTAAATAATAGATTGCAAATTTACCCATCGGTGCGATTTTCCAACTTGTCGCGATCCTTGAGCCGATCCTGATATTGATCATAACGATTCTTTAGGTATTTAAATGTTTGCACATATTCGATTTCATCAAATATCTTGCTAAAGTTTTCCACGAAGTATACGCACAGCGTACGTATATCCTCGAGTTTTATAAACTCAAATAGCTCCAGAATGGCCGATTCGAGCAGATTATAGCGACCATTGTTACGAATAAAGGCATCCACAACGGGCGCAAATAGATTGCACTTGACAATGTGCCTAAAAGCAGAAAGAAGTCAAGGAGATCAAATTTCAAATCCATCATATTAGATAACTGTCAAGCTTTACACACACCTGTTATAAAACTCATCTTTAAGTGCAATTATCTTGCGTAGCAGCCGCAGGGCGCCAAGTACAAGGAACGTATGTGTGCTCTTCATCAGCACCAGAATTCGTTTGAGGAGATCTTTTTGCAGCAAAAAATTCTTAATATGATAGCTGTGGTGTTCAACGCAAAACGACAAGATGTCCAACACAATGCCCAACAGCTGGGCCGTCTGATAATCCTCGTTCTGTGGACGATCCCCCATCGTATTGAGCATCAGAGGCGCTAATTTAAACAAATATATATATATATATATATGATTAAAAACCTGCAAGATACAATTGCATTTTGGTTGTTTGGCTATTTACCTACTAGCGTTTGGACGCTAAACTTGTAGAAGAAGTTGAGGAAATCGCCCTTCTCAGTCAGCATATTTTCCGGC